CCCCTCAGGCTATGCAGAATTATTCATACTCAAGGTCTAAAGAGGAACATCAGCATGAAGGAAAAACAGACTAAGGAGTGAAAACAAATTAGCAATCCAAACAGCCCTCTCCCTGCCTGTCACTGGCAGGCCTTTGGTGTCTCCTTCCAGAGTCAAGGGGTTTTCTGAGTAGAAGATTAAAGGATACATTTTCAGGGCTCAGAGAACAGGCACTCTGTGAAATGGATATTCACCCAAGGCAACCAGGACGAGGATTGCATGGGAAGAACCAGGGTGTGCCTTAAGCCCGCCTGAGTTTCCAAAGCCAGATCAGCCTGGTGTGGGTGTTTTGGTATTTTGCACCCACTGGGCACAAGTCTTTCATATTTTCCTTCATGCCTGAGTAGGGAAAAAAAGGAGAAAAAGAAGGATAAGCCACTAAGCTATCTTTGAGAATGTTGTAAACCTTACTTTAAAAGCAGTTATTCTCAACCAAGGTGATTTCACCCCAGGAAAAAAGCATTTGGCAATGTCTGAAGATACTTTTGATTGTCACAGCCAGGGGTGGGAGGCGCTACTGGCCACTAGAGAAGGAGGATGTGGAACACCCTATGGCGCCGCCCCCAACAAAGAATTGTCTGTTGTAAAATGTCAATAGTGCTAATGCTGAGAAATGCTACCTTAAAGAAATTAAGCAGTGAAAATAGAATTTTAAGAAAGCTCTTCTCTCTCTCTCTCTCACTCTCTTTCTGTATATATATGTCTCTCTCTCTGTCTCTGTCTATCTCTGTCTCTCTCACACCACACACTGGCGTGCGCGCGCACACGTGCGGCTGGCTTCATGAGCATGAAACCTGCACAGATAGATGCACAGGGCCCTACACTGAGAACGTGATAGAATCATCTGCTGTCACCGTCTTGAAATTCTTGATAATTTTGAACAAGAGGCCCCATATTTTCACGTGGCCCTGGGACCCGCAAGTTCTGTAGCTGGTCCTATATGCAAATGCTTGTGCACCACATAGACTCAGCCATTTAGTGGAGCAGAACCATATGTTCTGCATTGCACTCCCTTTTAGCCCCAAATATTCCACTTCATAGTAGTGCATGTTCTTGCTCTGGTTTTGAAACCCCTTTTTGGGTTATGGCAGAGCTGAAGCTGGAAAGTACAACACCCATGTCATGGATTTCAAAGTGCCTGTATAGTTTCTTCTTGCCCGTCAAACTGTCTAGAAATCCCTACAGGGCACCAAGTGGCAGTCAGTGAGACATAAACAAACATTTTCTCAAAGAAGCTGCAAAAGGATTTCTTTCCTGCAAGGGCAATAAGTCTCTGCTCTGATAACCTTCGCAGAGATAACAAAAATAATCCGGGACAAGGCTCTTTATATCCGTAATCAAAATCCACTGTCACATCTATCCTCTTCTTGCAAATCTTTTTCATACAATAGTCTCGATTAACAAACCCATGAATATGCTTAAAACCTCCTATTAAAAATCCAGCGAGGTAGGAACCCTCCCTTTGCTTCTCGTGAATCCCTTTTAATCTACTACCGTAAGTCAATCAGTAACAATTCATGGCGCAACTGTGAACGGGTGTGAGACCCCATCCACAAAGAATCTTGTTCTCTTTTCCAAACCGATACCTTAAAGTGTCCTGTTCATGGAGAAATACGGACCTCTCGATGCACCAGACGCGGCACCTATGTGGATTATCTGTGATGCTTACATGAAAAAAACAAGAATAACAACAAATTCGGTTTTTGAATAATCTACCAGTATGAGAAACCGTGCCTGAAAGATCCAGGGCCCCGTGATGGGGAGCTGTGTGCACGTGTCTCTGCTGCCATCTTCTGGTGGGCCATCCTGCACACACGTCCATCAGCACCTGCCACCTGGGAGTCCCTGAGCACTGCAGAATTGCACTTACAGAGTAAATGGGCTTTTAAAAAAATATTAAAGCACAAATCATAGTCGCTGCCATGCTAGTAAACAGTTGAGAACATCAATAATCATTTCCAAGTTTGCAGGCAATCCTACTTAAAAGGGTACACACAGCGCAGAATTCATCCCCACAGTCTGCGAGCAGGTGGCCTTGACTGAGCAGCGGGGCTCTCTGGAGACCCGGGAAGGGCTGTGGGGAAGTCCAAGGGGAAAGTCAGCAGGCTCTGATCCTAACAGCCTGTGTTCTCTAGAAGTTTTTGTTTGTCTGTTTCTATGAAGGAAAAAAGGCCAAAGCTCTGAGCCTGCTTTTTACAGGTGAAGTAGAAATAGCGTCAATGCCCCTTAGACATCACTTGAGACATGTCCACTTCTCCTTTCCCTTTTATTCATGACAACACGGACAGATTTACAATAATGATGATGTCAATTCCACAAGGGTGAAGACTTTATTCTATTCACTGCTGTGTTCCCAGGACTAGAACAGTGGTTCTCAGCAGGTGCTCAAGAGACACATGCTTAACAAAGGAATGGTCATAGCTATCATCTACTGATGGTATAGTTTATGCCAAGTCATTTATAATTCTTACCTCATTTGGTCTTTATAATAACCTGAGAGGTATGTATTATTATCCAGGTGTTACAGCGGGAGAGAGTGACTGTCAGCAGACTTGGCAAATGGCCAGACCAACCAGAGAGAAAATTCCTGTTAAGTTGAATGACCTATAGCCCATGGGGAGGTGGCTAGATAATAATATTAATGATAAACACCAATTCTTGAGAAATTACTCTATGCCAGGACACAGCATGATCTTATTTACTCCTAACAAAAGCTCAACGAGATAAATCTTACTAAGAATTGCCATTTTACCGATGAAGGCCAAAAAAGGTCAGGCAATTTGCCCAAGTTAGGAAGTGAGAGCTAGGATTCCCAGGACTGGCTCACAGATCCAATGTCTCCTATGCTCATATCTTGCCTTGCATGATACATGCTGGGTTGACCTCCTTCCTCTCATGTTGTCACCCACGAGAATGACAACAGTGTGCATCAACTCCCATGTGGAATGCCCACCAGTAGACTAAGTGCGAGGCATTTCCTCCCACAATATTTAGCAGCCTGGATACAGAATGGAAAGAGACTTGAGGTGGAGTCTTGAGAGATTAGTTTGGGTAGTTTACAGGAATGGAGTCTCCTAAACACCATGGCAAAGGTCAGAAGATGGCATGGAACCATAGACACAAACCTGCCTCCTCCACTTGTCCTGTAAATACTGCAAATGCTCCCACAGTCAAACAAAACTCCCGGATATCCACATAAAAATCTGAGCACAAATGTTCATAGCAGCATTATTCATAATAGCCAAAAAGTGGAAACAACCTTGCTATGGAATGAATGTTCGTGACCTTCCAAAATCCACATATTGAAGCCCTAATGATCCCCAGTGTGATGATATTTGAAGGTGGGGCCCTTGTGGGGTAATTAGGTCATGAAGGTGGAGCCTTTATGAATGGGATTAGTACCCTTACAAGACGAGACATGAGAAGGATGATATTTCTCTCTCCACATGTGAGGACACAGCACGAAGATGCCCATCGGCAAGAAGTTCCTCACCAGGAAGTGAGTCAGTCAAGCACCTTGATCTTGGACCTCCAGCCTCCAGAAGTGAGAGAAATAAATGTCTGTTGATTGAGCCACTCAGGCCACAGCATTTGTTATGGCAGCCCAAGCAGACTAAGACAAACCCAAATGCCCATCCACTGATGAATGGACAATGAAATGTGACATATCCACACAATGAAATATTACTCCACAATACAAAGGAATGAAATAATGACACACGCTGCAATGGAGATGAACCTTGAAGACATGTACTAAGTTGTATGATTCCTATCTACAGATATCCACAAACACAAATCTAGAGAGACAGATGCTACATCAGTGGCCACCCAGTGTTTGCGGGGTGGGAGGGGGACACATGTGAAGAATGAAGGGGAATGGACTGCTAAAGGGTACAGAGTTTCTTTTCAGGTGACGAAATATTCTAAAATCGATTGTGATGAGAGTTGCACAATTCTGTGGATACACTGAAAACCATTGAATTATGCACTTTACATAGGTGAATTGCATTTATCTCGTCCTCACTACGCCACCCTAGTCCAAACCACCACCCTCTCTTACTCCTGAGCGTGCTCCCATTCTTGGCAAACTCGATCCAGTCCCAATAAATAGCAAGAGCTGTTCTCAGCTCGTGGCTCTCCCCAACACACACTCTTCCTCCCTGGTTACCCACCCTTCCCTGTGGCTCAGGCCCACTGCCATGACCCTGGTGACACTCCAGGCACACCATCCTCCCTTCTGGCCTCAGTTATGCCAGTGCCTCTGTAACCTCCAGGCCTTTGCCCTTGCAGTTCCCTCTGACTAGGCGACTCTTCCTTTGAACATTGCATGACTAGCTGTCACTCATGCTTTAGGTCTCAGCTCAAACCTCCCTTCTCAAAGAGGAGGCCCCTGACTGCCCTGTGCAGAGGGGTCCCACCACCATATCTCAGCCAGTGCTTATTGTTGCAGCACTTACTGTAAATTGTAGTGTCCTTGTTTATTTATCTGCTCCGGTCTTACTTGTCTTATCCATTAGGAACTAGTTTTTGATTGTATTGGATTGTATTGTGTTGTATTTTATATTGTAGAGACAGGGCCTTGCTCTGTCACCCAGGCTAGAGTGTACTAGTGCAACCATAGCTCACTGCAACCTCAAACTCTTGGGCTTAAAACACCTTTCTGCCTCAGCCTACAGTTGCATGCCACCACGTGCAGCCAATATTTTAAATTTTTTTTCTATATATTTTTAGTTGGCCAATTAATTTCTTTCTATTTTTAGTAGAGACGGGGTCTCACTCTTGCTCAGGCTGGTTTAGAACTCCTGACCTTGAGCAATCTTCCCACCTCAACCTCCCAGAGTGCTAGGATTACAGGCATGACCTCCCAGAGTGCTAGGATTACAGGCATGAGTCACCGCGCCTGGCCTAAATTTTTTAAATTTTTTGTAGGCATAGGGTCTCACTCTATTGCCCAGGCTGGTCTCAAACTCCTGGCCTCAAGCAATCCTCCCACTGTGGCTTGCCAAAGCACTGGGATTATAGCAGGATTCCACACAAGGAACCAGTTTTAATGTTTTCTTTTTTATTCAAACACTTACCATAAACATTTCTTATGAATGAAAGTCTATAGAAACACCTACATTTTGAGATTGCTTAGAGAAGAATCCAGCAAAGGAGATTGAAAAGGAGCTATTACTGAACTAAAAAAAAAAAAAACAATAGCATACAAAACAAAGGTAATATTTGTAACTTTTTATACAATGTAAATTCATAATAGTAGATATAGTACAATTAATTTCTCCAGTTTTTATCCTATTTTGAATTCAACATGTTGGGATTTCCCTCACACCTCATACTAAAGAGATGTTCATAAATTTGTTCTGCTTTGCATGCAGATAATATGAATTAATGAGGCAGTTTTCTTCTGGGCATGATTCTCTAACCAAAAGCTGGATGGTTTTCTAAAATTAAATGTCTCCGAGTCCTTGAGTCACCTTTCCCAAGTCATGACTCAAAGAGGCTAGCAATTCACATATATTCTTCCAAAATTTTTACATTTGCAGAAAAAGAATACAGAGTATTGTAGAATCAATTCTTTCCAGATTTCAGTAGAACGATTACCCACACTTCAATTAAATGAGGCGTAGGGAGTGAAGGATGGGGGAAATGAAGTCCCTGAGCAGATGTCCTGAGGATTCAGATCTATAGTGGCCCGAGTTCTTGTTTTTCATTCCTGTACCCGGCTGAACTGTGCTGTCTCAAGAGTCTTGCTCAGCAGGTCTGGAGATCTGTATGTTTGCAACACCAAAGGCCTCTGACATGAAGTCAGGGTTGACAAACACTGTTGTAGACCAGGCACTATGAAAGATAGGGTGACAGGGATACAGAGATGATCAGGATTTGGTGCTCCCCTGGAGGCAGTCTTCTCATGGAGGGGGGTGGGTGGGCACAGTAATGTAAACACGTATTTCAATGCAATAGCAGAAACGCTCCGAGCACTTCCCTATGGGAGCACAGAGATAGCACTGCCTCCACATCTGAGTCATATTTGTTCTGGAAGGATCAGGGAATTTTAAGGACTAAAATGGAGCAAAAAAAAAAATCTCCGATTTTATTTGCAATTTTCTACATTTCCAAATAACATTTAGTGACCTGCCTTTTGAGAAAGGCATCACCTCTGCCACCCATTGCCAGATCACTGTGAGTCTGAAACTGGTCCTAACTGGCCCATATTCCTTTAGTGCTTGGTCTGCTGAAATAATAATAATGAAAAGAAGCTGAAAGGACCTGAGAAGTCTCAGAAGATGGTATCCCATACTACATCTTAGGAGACGGATGACCAACCTCTGTGTTTTCTATGGCTCCAGCTGTGGGGTTGCCTGGAGCTACGACACAAGGGATCAGGGAGTTTAATAAAAATGAGGAGTGGTAGACAAGGTTGAAGATAGAAGGTGACTAATTATAGAGAACAAGAGTTAGTGCAGCTTTGGTTTTAAAATATTCAGGTTCTGTGAATGTAGTGAAGCATCCAGGGAAATTCCTAAAGGGGTATTTCCAGGTTGGAAATGCAAGCTGGAGAGGACCTTGTACTGTCTTTGTCATTTACAACATCCAGTCGTTTGTGACAGTTTATAGCTTCTAAGGGATCTCAACTATATTCTGGTAGTTTTTGAGTTCCTTTGTATTAAAAAGAATAAAATGCCTAAATAGGCACACATTTACAATATGCACAGCTATTGTAAATTTAGCAGTAGCTAAATCTAGCAATAAATTGTTCTCTCTTTAGAAGACCCCTGCAAATATATTGCAAAAGCTCTTGAAAATGTATATATGTAGGTCTGGTCTTCAAAAGAGGATTTGGCTTTCAGATATGCACAGCTCTGCTAGAAATCAGGTGGAAGAGTATTGTCATAGAAACACTTTTTGGAAGTAGGGGTTTGAATTAGACTGTACAACTAGCTGCTTAATCTCTCTGGTCCTCAATTTTACTATCTATACAATAAAGACAGTAAAACCTGCCTAAGAAATGGATTAAGTAGATGATGATGTAAAACTTGGTCGTTTATAAAAGGATGGGTATACAGAGCACACTTCACTACTAATCTTTCCACTTGTGTGTTAAAAATTTGCCAAAGTATGGTTCTTTTTTAAGGTAAAAAAACCAGTAATGACACTAACAACCTGGAACATAGTAAAGATAGTCATCAAGCATATCTCAAATTGTGATTCTCAAATAAATACTGAAGACAAAACCAGCTTGGCATGCCACAGAACTAGAGAAACAAGTCAGCCAGAGAGGAACTTGAATTTTTCCTTGGGCAGAAGCTCAGATGTCAAAAAATGATCTTATTTGCAAACCTCTAGCCTGAGTTAACCTTTCTTCTTTACAAAACATCCACACCTTTTCATCTTTGCATTTTCTGCCAATTGTCAAATGTTTTCCAGAAAGAAAGACAACCTCTGAAATTTATCAAAAAATATTTTTAAAACTCTCTAAATCAATCATTAAGTAAGAGAAAAATAAACAGACCTTTGTATATTAGTTCAGGCTTTTAAAAACCATCTCTTGATGGAAACTGGCTGGAAATCTTGAAGCTGGCAGACAACAGAGTGGGACAACAGCGGCATCTAGTGTTCAATAAGAATCCTGCACAGCGCCTGGATGGAGACAGGTGGAGCTGTTTGTTATTACAAGATGCAAATCAGATGCATTTACCCACAGACTGAGATCGTTGAGCCGCACCCACTTTAGCCATTATAGTGCTGCTTCTACAAATGTTTACAGGAAAAGGACGCAGGTTGTCCTGATTCCAGAGAGACTGAACATCCAGCGGCGTTGGAGCCCATCTCTGCCCCACGCCTCCCCTCACTCAAGCTCAAAGACAGGATTATGTGGCTCAGCAGTCCCTGGAGGGCAGAAGTCCTCTGGAGTAAATGGAATAGGTCATGTTAATTTGGGGAAATAATCCTGGTTTTGCTTAAACTTTTTCCTAGATGTTCTGAACTCCTCCGCGAATAGTGAATTTGGGGCGAGGGTGGGGTACTGTTTAATCTACTAAACAATCTATAAATGAGGTGTGATTTGGGTCTATGTAAGCCAGTGATTTTTACCATTTTTTCTCCCAGCAGTGGAATGAATCCTTTAGGGGAAAAACATGAAATACTATTTGAACTGACAATGTTACAAAGAATAGATAAATATAGATATAAAATATAGCTGCTGTCTTTGAAGGAAGGCTGGTGTCGAAAAACTAGATTCCCAGGCACTTAACCTTGGGAGCCCTACCCTTCTCTGGCTCCTCCTCACCTCACCCTCCCCTGCCCCTTCCGCCCATCACCTGAGCCCCGAGCCCTACCTGCAGCTCCTGAGGCTTCCTTGTAGAGCCCGAGGTCCTAACACAAGCCTTTCAAACTTGGATCTCTTTTCTTTAGGTGTAAATTGACAGATAGTCAGCTGCAAAGCTGGGCAAAGGCTGTATGTAGGTCCTTAAACAGAAAGATGGAAATTAGCTAACATAGAAAGCTACAAAAAGCAGGTTTAGCTGCATTTTTCCAATTGAAAAGATGAGCTGCACTTGTTTTCTATAATCAAGATGGTGCCCCACCCTTACCCTCAGCCCTTTGCAGATGGCACCACCTCTTTGGATGAGGATGCCATCAGATCCCTTGGGAAACTCTCTTTGCCATTCATTTGGACTTCATGGAGCCTGTGGTTTATGGAGCAGAGGGCCATGAATGTCACAACTATACACAGCTTGAATCCAATGTCCACATTAGCAAAATGAGTAGTTTAGAATAGAAGATCCATCTGGGATTCTGCTCTGGAATTTTGACTGTGGAATCTCAAAGTCCCTAGTTAGTCTTGCAGCCAATATCAATGTTAAGACTTGTATTTGTAAACTCAAAAGAATTCATAACGAATATAAATCAGTAACTAATCATAAAATGTAAATGCAAAATTTGAGTGGTCCTAATCCTTGAGAATTATATCCCACAACATGAATTAAAGAGACTCAGCCAGTATCAAAGGCTATTTAAAGATGCCTTTCAATTCATTTGGCCTCTGTTACAGATGCTGCCATGTGAGACAGTGAGAGACCCAAGGATAAAAGCTGACAGCTAGTAGAGAAAAGAAAAGCCCCATAAAACAGATGTTTTAAACATGAAGCAGGTGTTGATGTTTATTTATACCTGGCTGCTGCATAGATTGACATTGTTAAAATTTCAAAGTAGGAGTGTTCCCCATAGACAAGGGACAATGAAAACAAATAGACAAGTCACAAAAGAAATAAAAGTGGTAAACAAGCATATGGAATAATGTCCGACCTAACTAATAGATATGCAAATTAAATCAACAAGAAGGTAGCATTTTCTTCTTTGCCAATTTTTTTACTAGTATATATTCCAATGTTGACAGAGATAGAGTGAAACTATATTCTCATGCATCATTGCTAAGTGATAGCGTAAATTACTACAGGCCTTTTGGAAAATATGTAATGATGTTCATAAAGAATGATTTAAATATTCATGGATTTTGAATCTGTAGTTCCATTCAAAACACAGGACAAAGCAATATGCATAAAGTTGTTCACTGCAGAGAAAAATTGTAAACAACTCTGAATGTCCAAAAACAGATGAAAGATTGTAAAGTTTGTTACATCTACTCGATTAAATATTATGCAGCTTTGTAAAAATTATATTCTCAGACACTACTTAGTAAAACAAAATGTTTATGACCTGTGAAATGTGGTAAACTATCAGTTCATGTACATATCTTTGGCTTTTAATTTAGTAGTCAAAATTCTAAAATTGAGAACATTTACATAAAAAGTCATATTTGGCGCTATTCAAAAAATCAGCATAACTGGCAAAACTGAGCCCTTTTGCATTACGGCAATTATTTGCAGCTGAGTAGTAACTATTCCCTTTAGGACAAGGAACATATAACCTCCTTTGAGCCACAGTCCCAGCCTTGTGACCCTTGGAGGCATTTGCATTCATAACCCCTGAACTGGATTTAAAAATTAGTACATAAAATTGTACATATACATTTCAAATATGCACATGAAAAAGACTGAAATCTCCGCAACTGCTATGAATGGTTGCATTAGTGTTCTAGTAGTATAGTTGGGCTTTCTTTTTCCTGTTTTAAAATTTTTTGCATTACCTTTTCATTTTGAGAATGGGTTAGAAATTGACAAAGCCAATGTAACCTTGCAGCAAATGACCGATCTTGGAGCAAATACCAGTAATCTCCAGCAACAAGAAGAGGAAGGTGAAGGCCATATATTTCTCCCCCATAATCTGGCAACCAGGTGGTATGTTGCAATGCAAACAAGACTTTGCCCAAATTCTTCTAAACTTACAACCATTATCAGCCAGAAATTCTATATTGTGCTTCCTGTAATCCCAGATAACTCCTCCATTTCTGTTCTCAGAAACACAATACTGAAATAAAAGTCTAAATGAAACTTGAGTGAAAGTTTCATTTTTTAGGCAGACACAATATTCTGATAACAGAATCAGACAGCATATTGTCAGGTCCATGAAGTAGAACATATGGGGTAGAGAACAAATGGGCCTCTGGCCTCAAGCATTGCTGTGTTTAACAGATTTTTAACACTTTCTTCCCAAGAAGATGATGGAGACCAGTTTTTCTAGCTAGCCTCTTATCTTGCCTACTACTCATTTCATAAATGGAAAATTATTCTTAACATCCTTTGTGCAACTTGATGAACTTTCTGGTGTAAATTTTGATGAAGATAATTGAAATGATTAAACAACCACCTCTGGAAAGTAGATTCCTGATTAGGATACTTCAAATGCTAATGCTAACTACACAGCTCTAGAATATATGATAAAGTTCAGTTATACATATACATTTTACACACTACTAATGTTAAAAAATTTTTAAGTAAATTGCTACCTAAGAACTACAGCCATTGTGTTTTTTTCTGTTTTTGTTTTTTTTTTTAAGTGTGCTCTATAGGTCTATGCTTTCTCTAGCAATTATAAATGTCATAATTTTATTTTGGGATTTCTAATTCTGTTCTCTCCAAATTTATTACCCCTGAATACTTAGAATATAGATGAGAGGTGATATCAAATAAATCCCATTTGGCTAACAAGTGATCCACAGGCAAGACAGAGCTAAAACCTGACTCCCTGACCTAATTCTCCACAACCTCCAGTGTTCTAATCCCATGCATTAAGTGAATTGAAAATTGGGAACCCGGCTGGGTGCGGTGACTTACGCCTGTAATCCTAGCACTTTGGGAGGCAGAGTTGAGCGGATGGCTCAAGGTCAGGAGTTCAAAACCAGCCTGAGCAAGAGCAAGACCCCGTCTCTACTAAAAATAGAAAGAAATTAATTGGCCAACTAAAAATATATAGAAAAAATTAGCCGGGCATGGTGGCACATGCCTGTAGTCCCAGCTACTCAGGAGGCTGAGGCAGGAAGATCGCTTGAGCCCAGGAGTCTGAAGTTGCTGTGAGCTAGGCTGACTCCACGGCACTCTATCCCAGGCAATAGAGTGAGACTCTGTCTCAAAGAAAAAAGAAAAAGAAAATTGGGAACCCAAGTTTCCATCTGTAATGTCTCAAAACAGAAGGTGGAAAAATATTCTGCAAGTTAATAACACCTGTTGAAACATTACAAACAGAAAGTTCAAAGTGCTACCAGCCTCTGAGTCTTACCCTCTGCTCTCCCCGTTGATAGGTCTAGCTGTCACTCCCACAGGGTATTGGAGAAGTCAGGCAGCATTTAAGGTGTCCACAAAAGCTTGCGCCTGGGTCCAAATGTCTATTTTTTCTTCTGGGGTCCAACAATGTGAGGGAATTACATCCATATCTCTCCATGGAGATCAACGGAAAAAGGTTGACTCCAAAGTTTTTGACTAAACTTTTCAGGGTCTTCAAAAAACCAGCCAAGGCTTGCCCAGCACTGTTTAAGATCTAGCATAGAAAAAGGATCATGTATTCTGGTGGTGGCCCCTTGGCCCATGGTCACCTCCTGCCAGCTCCCTAGGCTGCTGTCATCCAACATCTGGCAACTGCTTGAATCTGCAGGGCCTGAGTGACCGTCTACCACCCTAGTTAGGGGTAGCCCAGTCAGCCGCACGGAGGGAGGTTATGCACCTGTAACTCACTGAGACACTGCAGAAGCAGCGAGAAACAAGAATGTGCTTACCCCAAATTATGACACGACAGCCACGTCAAGGCTTATGCGCCGTGTCCTGCCCTGGTCGCCATAGAGATGTCACCGGCCTCTGAGTGGAGGTTTTTTAGGTTCTTGGAGATCATTGGAAGAAAAAAATTTTAGGATACACCACACATAACCCAAAAGCAAGAAGATTTTATCGAAAGCAAAAGTGAAATTACATTCTGAAGAGAAGAGGACAGGCTCAAAAAGAGTAGCTGCCCCGACAAGAAGGGGTCTTTGGCTTTTTGATGTCTCTCTAATTGAGGGGAGAAATATTCAAAACCAAGTATTATCTGGACTAAGATTTTGAGTAGTAATTTCTAGAATTGAGTTGGCTCCCATTTTTATAGTTTATATAATTGTTTTGGAACTGCCATGGCGATGTTAAGGGCAAAGAACTTTTAAAACCACAATGTAAATGATATTGTAATTGGCCAAAGTTTATGTAAGGTGGCCTAGACAGCTGACAAGCCAGTTGAAGCCAGTTTTTATCTGTGGATATTATGAGTCCCTCTTAGTTAGACTTTAACACCTGCATTCATTCTGCCAGCCCCTGTATCCAGCTCCCAGCCTGGTAGCCTAACTAGTTTTTGTCTGAGGGTTATTTTAACACCTGTACTCACTCTGTAATCCCCTGTATCCTATCTCAGCTCTGTCTCCTAGTCTCCTACTCTAAGTGGCTGGCCATTGTCATTCTGCACACGGTTGTGATTTGGAAATTATGAGAGTGTACTCCTTTTAGTGCAACATATTTCTTGTGATCTTAGAAATAAAAAGTGATAAATGATAATACGTTAATCCAATGGAAGGGAAGCCAGGTTTGTGCCATGATCCTGTCCTGATCATTGGAAGGTTATTGGATAAACTAGTTTCTGAGGCTGTCAATGTAGTTCTCTTCCAAAAGTTACTGCCTTTAAACAAGTAATTCCTAGGAAATTGTATACTTAATGTCTTAACTAAAGAAAGGAAGCTTTAGTGATAGTCATTAAAAATTATTTCACCATTTATGTTAAAGAAACTTACAGATAATAACATCTAAGAAAGATCAAATTTTTAAAAATAATGTCCTACTTAATATAAAAGATAAATACATTTAAAAAATGATTCACAATGTGTATTTCAACAGATAAATCCTCTGGGCTAATTTTTTTTTTCCTGCAAAAACTCTATTTCCACTTGGCCCAAGGCTTGGGAAAGGACTCTAGAATGGTTAAAAAGTTGCCTAGTGGCTGGAGGGAGAGGCACAGGCAGAAGCCCTGATACTTTGCGAGGGGCTCCTCAGAGGTCCCTGGGCTTGGTGGGCTCCTTGTCGTGCTTGAGAGTGAGCCCGGCCCAACCTGGGGGCCGGCTGGCCTGCAGGGGTTGGCCAGGTGGTTGCCCATCTTGTTGATGAGTTTTGATTCTTCAATGAATCATGATAGTGCTTCTGCCAACTCCCAAATATGTTCAGCCCAATTATTTATTCTGAAAGTAGGAAGATGGTCATTGAGTAGACCCATAAATTCAACACACCTACTATAAGGAAGACCTGGGGAAGAACTCCATATAGTACCTGGATCCCATATGCCCCACTCTAAAGATGGCCTATGTTGGTACTCTGGCCCTGAGTTTCAATGTCGACTTGGACCTTGTGTTCCATGGTCCTCAGGGTGTTTGTGTATTCCCTTCCCCAGTGTCCAGTTATCCAAGTAAATAACCACAGGGGCATCACTGCCATCTATACCTGCAGCGGTGTTTCAAAGACCTTCTTGGGGATCCAGCCTTTCCTCCAGTCAGTAGTTTCTGGGTTTGAAAAAGAACAAAGGTCTGGAAACTTGGCAAAAGATCATCACCTTTTATTATGGTAGCTGTGCCCTCTCTTCCAGTCATCCATCCTTAAGATCTCTTGATGGTATAGCTTGAACAATAACTCACTGTTTGCTATCTATTTTGCTTCCAGGGATGCTGTGTTCTAATAACCATCTCCAAAGCTCTCTGCAGGTATCCTTCAGATCTGGCCACTCATGGTAATCATGTCTTTGTTCCTGATAGTGAAGCACTGCCACTGGGCCTCTATTCTTCCGTGCCCACGGCCATCAGGGAGCCACCTTCTGCATCTTCTGGCCTACAGAGCTACCACTGAGCTTGTCAGTGAAGCTGGTGCCCCTCACCCATGAGTTCCTTATCACTTTGGTAAATGTGTTCTTCCCGGTGTCCCCCCACCTTAAGGAAACACAAATGCTTTATTCTGTGCAAAAATATTCATGAAATATGAAACCAGGTGTGTGACCTGCTAGTTACAGGGTTCTTCCCCTGGTGCACATTAAAATAAGGAACTATTAAGAATTTCCATCTGTCTAGCACCTGAAAGCAGCCTGCATACACAGATGAACCTCTGAGAAGCATTAAGGTAGTCAACAGGGAGATAATAAAAAAGCAGGAAAACCCTCTAGCCTCCTATGCATGTGTGGCTCCTCATCCTGCTGTGCACACTGTGACTTCAGAAGTGGCCACCTCAGTCACCGTGAGCCTCTGTCATACACTGCAGCATCCATGGGCACACATCTCACTCCTGACTGGCTTTAGGGTCATGGGAGGTCCTTAAACCCATCTGTGCTTCAGCTTTCTCATTATTTTCTTAAAGGATTAAGAAAATAATGTCTGTTCCTTCTTCTTTGTCAGAAACATTGGTCATTAAATATGACATATCCAGTTTCAAATCAAAAGTTTAGTATATATCTCAATTAAGAAGCAGTACAATGAGCCAAAGTATGCACCTAAACTATCAACACGGTTTTGCCATCTTCACGACAGCTTGTTTATGCAGCAGCGAAGAAGCCTGGAGAGCGAGTGGTAATGAGATCATGACAGGTGTTTTCCACGGCTTGGTGAGAACTGAATATCTTTCCTTGTAAAAAGTGGTCCGAAGCCTGGAAGAAGTGGTGGTCAGTTGGTGCAAGGTCTAATGAATACAACGGATGAGAGAGAATTTCCAAGTCCAGCTACTGTAGTTTAAGCAGAGTTGTTTGTGCAACATGTAGTCGAGACAGGCAAGAGAATTGGCCTGTCTCTGTTGACCAATCTCAGCTACTTAATCACAAGGATCCTCATAATTTTGTCCAATTGGTTGCAGTAGACATTGGCTGTAATCGACTGACCAGGTTTCACGAAGCTGTAGTGGATAATACCAGCGCTGAACCACCAAACAGACACCATTAGCTTTTTTTGATGAACATTCAGTTTTGGACTATGTTTTGGCACCTCATCTTTATCCAACCATTGTGCCAAACACTTGTGATTGTCAAAAAGAATCCATTTTTCATCACACATAACAACATGGTATAGAAATGGTTCACCTTTATGTTGTGACAGCAAAGAAAGGCAATCTTTGAGACGATTTCTCTTCTGACACTCATTTAATTCATGCAGTACCCATCTATCCAGCTTCTTTACCTTGCCGATTTGTTTCAAATGGTCCAATATTGTTGGAATAGTAACGTCAAACCTTGCTGCTAATTCACACATAGGTCGAGATGGAATTCTTCCACAATAGCCTCCAGCTCATCATTATCCACCTTGGTTTCTGGTCACCCACGTGGCTCATTTTCAAGATTAAAATCACCAGAACAGAACTTCTGAAACCATCAACGTACTGTGTGTTCATTAGCCACTTCCTTCCCAAATATTCTGTTGATATTTTGAGCTGTCTGTGCTACATTTGTTCCATGATGGAGCTCATATTTGAAAATAACACGAATTCTCAACTTATCCATGGTTTCCCCAAAATTGCTCTAAAAAATTTGACAGATAATCACAAGCCAAACTATGCATTTGAAAGAATGAGGATGTACCTTCACAATAAAAATAAAACAAGAAGTGTCAAAGTGAAATGAGATATTAACTGTTAAACCTAAGGGAATCGGACATTTCATACTTAATAACCTAAATCTAACACATGCTGGTCACAGTGGTTCATGTCTATAATCCTAGCACTTTGGGAGGCCGAGGTGGGAGAATCACTTGAGGCCAGGAGTTCAAGACCAGCCTCGGCAACATGGCAAGACCAGGCATGGTGGTGCATACCTGCTGTCCTAGCTACTTGGGAGGTGAGGCTGGTGGACTGCCTGAGCCCAGGAGTTTGAGGTTGCAGTGAGCTATGATGACACTAGGCAACAGAGAGTGAGATGGAAGGAAGGAAAGAAGGAAGGAAGGAAGGAAGGAAGGAAGGAAGGAAGGAAGGAAGGAAGGAAGGAAGGGAGGGAGGGAGGGAGGGAAAAGGAAAAGAAGAAAAGAAAAGAAAGAAAGAAAACACACACATCCAACTGAAAAGTAAATACAGAAACCTTTTAATTCCTTGTAAGGAATTCTTGGATAATTTCATGTGTTTTAATAATCATAGAGGCAATCTTACCCTTATTCATTACCAAAAATAAATACTATGGTAACAATTTATATTCCACAGATGCAAACAATCTCATTTGACATTAAAAAAAGGCAGAAAGACAAAACACAAACTCTGAGGGCAGAGATTAAAACAATACAACATTCTAAGATTGTTAATTTTATTGTTTGTTTCACTGTTGTATGTTTATCTTCCAAGAGCCTACAGAGGTGAGGGAAAATATCTTCAGGCTTATTTTAAACAACTTGAGAAAGGGATTAAGCATTAAATATAAAAAATAAAACTTTTAGCTTATTGATTAAACTAGGAAGAATTTTCCTGAAACTTGTCAGTTAAATTGGTCTGTAATGCATTAATAAATGAACAACATGGATCTCTTCTAAGAAATATTTTAAATACTGCATATACTGCCAAAAATCTAATCAGAATATGAAAATGTTAAAGTCATAGTCCCCTGAACAGACTAAATACAAGTTAGTCTTTAACCTGAAGTCAGAAGTGCAAAGTCTATAAAAATAAAAATATTGCCATTGTTCTCAGCAATCTCCTGATAAATCCTATAAATCCTTAAAGCCTTTCCAATAAATAAACCACAGTCTCTTGACAAGCTCCTTGCTTAGGTGGAAAGTAACTTTTGAAGCTGGACTTCTCAGTCTGTGGACAGCAGCAAGCTGCACGGGCATCATTGCTCCACTTTGAAAATCATCTTCGGAGCAGAAGAAAGTCCAGCAATGACCTTCTTCATTGAGACACTGCCTGCATAGCTACAACTCTGTACAGCAGAAGGTCTCCAGACAGGCACAACTCTCAGCTGATAATCCAGAAACAGATTTAAAAAGAGGAAATAGATGTCAAATATTTCAGTTTACAGATGCTATCCCAGATAAAATGTCAAGGGTTTTTGGAATAAAAATGGACAATATGCAAAAATGAGGTAACCAGATATCAACAAAGTTGGGGATTTAAGATGCACGTACCGCAAGTGAAAACAGAATTTTCTACATGTAGCTGCAGGAAGTTCTGCTTGGGGTCATTCTATTTGGAACTCATTTCCGAGAGGCACTCCTAGTTATTTCTATTATCTGCTATGTCTACACTTGTGAATAATAATCATAACTGATACTTAAAATGATGCCTTGTCACCCTCCAGGGTTCTACAGGTTCTTGCAAATCAAAGAGAGGCCACATAACGCCTAGTATTATTTGGGGGTTAGCGTATCCTTTATAATAATTATTTTTAAATTGGTAATCCATCTTTGGGCTCAATGATAGCTCTCTCTATAAATAATGTTTTTATTAACCAGAATATTCCACTTTCTCGGTAGAATTAATGTTCAGAACTTATTTGACAACCAAAACTAAAACTGGGGCGATGGGCTCTTGGAATGTAAGCACCCATGAAGAACCGTCCCACCGACCAACTCTTCCACTTTCTTTCTAGATGTAGAATCACCAGAGTGTTTCGATGCAACCTGAACATTTCAGAGAGGGGGGTCTTCATGAAGATCTTATATGTTTGTGGGATTCAGAATCACTGTTCACTTAGCGATCCTATTTGCTCACTCTCTTCTGTGTGCAATTGTACAGCTTTGCGTGGCTGTTGAGCCCGGGTGGAAGAACTCCCATCCTGCCTCAGAGCCTCTCCTTTAGGGACTTGGAAACGGAAGGTAGCGCAGTTCCTTCTGGCCATCGGCCGGGCATGGGATGCCGGGCTGCTTGGGGTAAGTTCGACTAGCAATTTTAAAGAACTCTTCTGCAGCGTCAAGTGCAATGAGACGGTCCTGCCAAAAAAAAAAAATAGAACAAAACAAATCAGTGTTGCTAAGATGGGAACACAGACACATCCATGGGAAAATCCAATCTAACAACAACAAAACCCACCTTGGAAATCATAAGGAGCCAGTAAAACATGTATTAACTTTTTCCCAACAAATCACAGACACACCTTAATCCTTTATTTACATTATCCAAGAAACACTGCACCTCTCTTAGAGTCCATTCAAATTAGTTTTCAGTCTTAGATTATATAAATGATACTTCTCACATCTCTTGGATCCTACAAACAATTCAAAAAGCAGACTGTACAATAGAATCAGCTGAAAAATACAGTCTCGAGCCAGAACCCAAGCCTCAGTGGGTCTAGGATCCAGAAATCGGAATCTTTAAAGCTCTTCAGATGATTCTGATACACCGGAAACCAGTGCATACAGTGCCGGCATCCCCGCCACCTCCTACTGCAGCACTGCTGCTAGTGTTGGAACAGGGAATATAGTAAGTGCTCACTTAACATCATTGAGAGGTTCTTGGGAACTGCAACTTTAAGCCAAAGGACATAAAACAAAACCAATTATTTTCTCCTCATTGATGTTATAACAAAACACTATTCAAGGACCTGCTGTATATTGTTTCACTTAAAGTTGCAGTCTCCAAGAACCTACCGTGCCGTTAAGTGAGGACTTATTGCAAATGGGCCAATAGAAAAGGTAAACATGTTAAGCAAAATTGGAGCAAATGACAAAAGGTATCCACTTACCACAACAAAAAGATATCTCTCTGAGAGCTCCCAGCTTGCTGGAAAGATAGTGGTCTCTTCAGCCAGTTTTAACAACATCTCTCGAGCTTTCCTTGTGTTTTTGGAATCACTGACGGTGCTGAGTTTAGTCACTGCCAACAAAGAGTCTGCTTCCTTTTGAAAACCTAAGGTAGAAAAATTTGCCCCTCATGTAAAGTAGACCCAAGGTAACGACTGTCCTGCAATATGGTCCCTGCAGGAGATTAAGAAGGGACCCCAATGTGGATTCTGTACAAACATCAGAGAACTGAAGCCAAAGGCACTGCTCCATGTGCTGCTGCCCAGCTCAATGTGACTCGTGGGGTCTTTAAATTCTCTTGATGTTTTTTCTTATTTAACTTTCTTTGTTACTTTTTTCACTTGGAGCCTCAGATACTCATCCACTGGCTGCTTGCTGCCTTCACTTTGGTTTGAAGCCCTCTTTCCTGTCCTCCCTACTCTTCACTTTCTCCTCGGTCCCCAAAAATGCCACCTGCCTCCCAATCTGCAAAGTGGTCCCCTCCAGGCCCTACTGCTCCAAGCCCAGATTTCCTTGCTCAGGACAATATGGTCAGCTGCTGAAATTTACTCACCCAAAGGTGTAAAAGACTCAAAGACTTAAACCTGCTTAGAGTAACTTACATTATAAGAAGGAGACTATTAGCTCACAACAATATTGGGTGATCAAGGAGGACAGAGGTCCCATCCCATCCCATTGCATCCCAACTAACGCAACAGGGGCTAGCAATGTGGCACCCCACGTTTGAAAAGTTATGATGCCAGGGTGTCATGTTCTGTTTCCAAGCAGAAGGATTAAGGACTTCAAAGTTGATCAATTCATTTTCTAAACATTAAAACAAGCTTATTTTACAGTGTGGGGGCCATGTTCATTGCAACACAATCCTGGTAGAATTAAGGAAAGCCATTACCATTAATCACCAACGATTAGGGTAGATATCTACTTTAATGCCACAGGTATTTTCCCAACTTTGAAGCTTTTCTTCCTTTTATGTCTTCTGAAATCTACACTGACTTTTTCTGTTTATTTCTCCCAACCTGCCCCATCCTATAAAGCTATTACTAATTGGCCAATCACCCTCATCTAATTCAATCAATGTACAGTGCCAGAAAAGTAAATGGTAATGCCCATATGACTGCACTGCCCTGCGCTGCCCTATACTGGGGACAGATGGAGTAATACATGGCAGAGTGTGTCCCCAAGACATGAGCTGGTGACAACAGAAGTATCAGATGTTTATGCTTGAGGATATAAGGGCAAGGTTGGAAAAATAATTAGTCCACAGTAGTCTTAATTAGTAAATTATCAACATTCCTTTTATAAAAACCATGGTGGAGTAAATGAAGAGTAATGATCACAAGTAGTTATTTTTACCATTTCACAATCTCTTTCGGACTCACCTAAATCTTCTAAAATGCGTTTCCATCTGTTTCTCACTTCCCTTCGAATCTGCCGCAGGGTATAGATATCATAGTTGAGTTTCTGCCACTCCTGCAGGAAAACAGAAATTCGGTTTTATTCATACCTTCCGGCCTAAACCCTCTACCTCATTCCTAAACTTTATGTTGCTTAAACATGTGGTTCCTCTTTCATTAATCTTCAAAACATGCCTAAAAGAAGAGAAGGAGCTGGAATCGATAAAGGCGATAGGAATACTATCAACTGCCATTTCTGGAGAATCTTCTGGACCAAGTGATATGGCACTTAACATGAATCATCTTATTGAAACTCTTCATGTTATGTATCCTCTCAACTTGAGTGATCTCACCTGTAAAGTGGGGTTAACAATGGTAAATATTCCACTTAAGACTATTATAAAGATCGAAGGTATGCAAAAGCACAACACCTGCACACAGTGGGCACCTAATAAAATCCATGTATTATTAAATCTGTTTTATAGATGAAGAAACTGAGACCCAAAGAGTTTCATTGACTAATCCAATATCACCCATCTAACAGATACTGGAACTGGCATTTGAGCCCAAATCTGGCTCTGAAGTTCATGAGCAAGCTGACACATGAAAAATCTCTGCCTCTTTTGTTGTCAGAATAAAGTAGACCTGGGAATCCCAAGGCTGTTGAAACCTAGCCAGTGTTTCCGTCACTGTATCTCAGCACTGATCTTTTTAATTTATATTCCTTTGATAGGATGGATCTGTCAATAATTCAGCAGAACTAGCAAAAGGTTATCATTCTGGAAAATTCTTTATCAGTCTTACGTGTTTCATGTTGGCCCCAATACAGAACTTAAATCCTTTAGGAGCATTAGCATCTTCATGGAGATAAGTGTTCCTTTAAAATGTCATGAAAATTTGTTTTTAAGGAGCCTTGTCGATATAAAACAGTCATTTTATAGAGCATACCTTTTTGTCGTTCTTAGCAAAGACATTAGCCACACAACTACCCTAATGCACAGCTTAAAAGAACATCATTCTAAATGCCCAATTTAAGACTCAAGTTATATGATACTTTGACTCCTCTAACTGAAAATGTTTCTGTGATACCATTAGTTCCCTAAGAAGTTCCTTTCAAGGCTTGCCTTGCTCATGGCTGGTTAAGAAAAATCAATTTGGCTGCCATTCACAAATGTTTATAGACACCATTTTGAAAAAGAAAAGCTAGCAAAACTAAGTGTTTTGTTACGATTGCATTTTGGATCTTGTATCTGAGGATATGCCATCAACAGGGCATGGACTTTCAGTGTTTGCTAGAAGTCAGGAAGGGGTGAGTTTGAGTACTCTTTCCTGGTCCTCTTTTCCTGACCAAACCATATATGCACACGCATGTGCACAAGCGTGCGGTGACTGGAGTCAGGGACAGAAACATGCAACCCTGGCCTCATCTGTAGCATCATGTTAAAGCAGCCTTATCTCATCTCCCCCCGCCCCCCAGACTGTGTAAGTTGTGGAGGAAAAAAACTCAAGTATTACTGTTTTCATTGGATGGGCATTATTGTACTTAAATGGCATTCAATATAGCATATGGAGTACAGGTTTGGATCCCAGCTCCATTATTTATTAACAACCTTACTTTGGGGATGTTCTTAAACTCTCTGCGTCTCAACTGCCTCATCTCCAATGTAGGGATAATAAAACTACCTCACCCCATTGGTTTATTGTGAAGTTCAAGTGAGCTAATACAAGCCCTCAGAATGGAGGTTGATGAACATTCTTCTCCAAATCAGTGCAGGCACAATTAAGAAGCAATCCTCCAAGATTCAGAATTATTTCTGTTATGAGGATGGAAGACACAATACACTACCTTATGCAGTATCCCATTTGTGAGCACCTTCAGAAGGCAAATTTTTCTACTCTTAGCACCAGATATGATTTTACTTTTCCTAAAAAAATTGTTTCATCTTTTTGGACATTGTGAATTTTGAAAGTCATCAGTTTCCACTCATACATGAAAACTTAAAGTCCTTTCCTGGAAAATATATAGGATTTGGCAATCCTTTTTTTAATTCCTACTATTTCTGGCTACATTTTATGTCTTTATTCATATATATTTTTTCTCTTTATTCCTCACTTTCTTCTAGTAAGATAGAATAAGATAAGATAGTAAGATAAGATTTCTGCTAGTAAGATAGCACTTTTGTGCTATCTTACTATACTTTCACATAAGTTACCTTAACTCCTTTTAGATAAAAAGACAACAGTACAGACAAAATACTAGACAGAGCCACACTGTGTTTGTTCTCAATGAAAATGATCCTGCTTTCTGGACTTAATGAAAAGTGCCCAGACTGTTAGTCAGACTTGATCAGAAACCCACGCTATCTGCAGATGAGTTGCCTCCTATGTTCACACAACCTTAATTTATGAAACAAACCACTAGGTGGCTTCATTAACTTGCAATTAAAGGTCTCTCATAAATTTTCTTTTAGCTCCTAAGGCTGATGCTTCAGATTCTCTTCTCTCCAAGTGTAGCCAAATCTCTGTTTTTCAGAGACTCACCCATCATTGGATCATCCGGGCTTTGGACATTTTTTTAAACCTTTCCTTTCCTACTGTCCATCTATCAGTCATTTTGCTATTCCTAAGTATCAACACTGAATGTCACACAAATTCATTCAGTGTCTGTTTCTCTAATAAAACACTTGATGGGGGAGCAACATATAGCTAGTAATCAATATGAGATTTAAAGATCTGCTGAGCATGGAGGCATAACTGGCCTATCTTTGGATCCCACCTCATCCTACTGTGGCTTGTGGACAACTTTCACGTGATAGGTGCTTTTTAAAATTAGTAGAATGAAACTGTAGATCTCATACATCCATATTATTACTATCTTGTTTTGACAGAGCAATCATGGATAGTCATATATAAAAGCATCTGGAAGTTTTGTGCAAAATTTAAAGCTCTAAAACCAGTAGAGGCTTGGGTAAGATTTTAACTAAGAATTGGCATTTGATAAAATAAATGGTAAGAAAAGAATGTGAATTTCTCTTAAACATATGACCCTAAAGAATAGAATCTAAATGCAGCAAATGAGAAATGGTGATGTACAAACTCTTATCCAATTATGTGTCTCCACAACTAAAAAAACTAACTCCCCTACTCCCTAGTATTAGAGAAGAGCAAGTCTTCTGACGTCCTCCTACAATTTTTAAGTTGTAATAATTTACTTTTTAAGCTTGAGATAAATAATTTGAAAACAATAAAGATTGTCAAATATTCTTCACAAGTGACTTCAATTCTAATAGACATCAGAAGATAAAATCTTATTTTCTCCCATCCAAGTACTAACCAGGCCCAACCCTGCTTAGCTTCTGAGATCAGACGAGATCGGATATGTTCAGGGTGGTATAGCCATAGGCAAGTCTTATTTTCTAAAAGAAATATTTTATTTCCCTATAATTTCTGAAATGAAATATTGTGGTCAATTGTGATGCTATGGCCCTAAACTTTAACAATGGGTGAATCAGCAAATGTGTAGCAAAAGAAATAATACAGATCTAGTTTCATAAGATACCTGGGAACCAAGTCAAATTGAAAAACATGATTGAAAATGAATTCCTGTTTCCCAAGAATGGAAAAACAAGCACCACATATACTCACCAGCAAACTGGTATTAACTGAGCAGCACCTAAGTGGACACATAGGTACTACAGTAATAGGGTATTGGGCAGGTGGGAGGGGGGAGGGGACGGGTATATACATGTATAATGAGTGAGATGTGCACCATCTGGGGGATGGTCATGATGGAGACTCAGACTTGTCAGGGGAGGGGGGAATGGGCATTTATTGAAACCTTAAAATCTGTACCCCCACACCCCCATAATATGCCAAAATAAAAAAAAAA